TTCCCAAAAAATATTAAAGTTGTTGATAAAATGCACTGAGTGGTCGGTACATGCTGATATGAGCCATTTATTCAGTGTAAACAACCTGCTGAATCTCTCGTCTCCTCTTCTGACGGGCGGTACAGGTCCACTGATGAATACAGCTGCATTCAGAGAGTTTACAGTATTTAATAATCCAGTAAAGTCCCGCTTCAGAACCTCCGACTGTTGTTTGGACACATCGTTTGACCCTGTATGCAGAACAATGTTCATCACAGTTGGATATTCATCTGCAATTTGAAGAATTCTCTCCTTCAGGTTGTTGACCATATCCTTAGGAAAGCAGAGGACTTTAGTGTTCTTACCGCACATCCTTTGTACATCCTTTACGGCAGAGTCACCCACAATCAGAGTTTCAGGCCTAGCCTTTAGCTTTCCCTGTGGCCTTTTACTTTTCAATAGATTTTCAGACCTTACTTCGCTACTTTTAGATGGATGGTTGTCCGATATAGATCCAGGGTCCTTTGATAGTGGAGCAAATCTGTTCTGCAGTTTCACATTCAGTTGTTTTGGAGGTTTGTTGTTAACCTTCCTATTCACGTAAATACGTATTACATTTTTTTTTTATTCCATTCTGATCATTTTTCTGTTGCTTTCCTGCTTCTCTCCTACTACTAGATTTTGGTTGTAATTCTTCATTAACACGACAAAGACGGTCAGCGGACCTTCAACCCGAAATGATGGCCTTGAGTAAGAAGATTCTAGTATTAAAACTTTGGTCTGATGGTATAAAATATTTTTTGCAAGAACATGCTAAATGTGTCTTTTATTTTCTTTAGAATTGAACTACACAGAGAAAGAGCTGCAAAACTGTTGTGTTTATGGATTTTCTCGAATCCCGATGGAACGAACATGTCGGGAAAGAGCTGATCGTGTCCTTCTAGTGAAAAAAAATCCAACTTGTGCTGAAGTGTTTTTAAAGTGCTGCCTTGAAGCGGAGCGTCTAAGACAAAAAAAGATCCAGGAAGAACTCCAAAAAGGATTTGGCAGGAGTGAGATGAAACTGACACTTTATGCTGACACTTTAAAAATCATCTTGAGTAGCATTTAATAGCTGTAGCTTAATTATCAAAGTCTCACTTTGACTGACTTTGACTTTTTGTGGCTTTTAGCTGCATCCGTTGCTGATATAGAGGAGTTCTTCTCAGAAACCTCTCAGTATATCCGAAGATATTTTCCTCCAAGCTTTGGTTTTGTGGAATTTGACGTCTCCAACAAAAAAACGTAAGCATTTTTAATGTACCTGTAATATATA